TTGCACTGATTTGTTAACCTCGTTCCCAGGGATTCTCTGCCGAAGCTGTTGGCTCTGGGGCAGATCAGGGGCAAACAACCATGAAGGGTGAGGGTAAAACACGGGTGGCCTTTCCAGGTTAGACTGGTAAGCTCTCCTTTGAAGTTAGACATTTTGGATACGTTTCTGGGAAACTGCCCACCTACCCCTTCCTTAGGCCAACATTAACACTTTCTTCTACGCGAGAAATGTGCTTTCAGTCAGAACCTCTATCCCCTTAGCTACAGAGCATAGAATTTTTTCGTTAAGTGGTCACGTGATCAGCGTACATCCTTAAAGGCGGGGAGTACTTTAGGAATGTTTGTGTGGGGATGTGACGCTGAGACCCTGGAACTCCTTAGCTTATACCAGAGCCAGTTTAGCTGAATTTTGCTACCCTATACATGACTAAACTCCCCAAAACCTTCCCTAGCCTAGAATATCTTTTATAGGCTGACTAGCGTAAATTTCATCATGCCGATTTGATTTTTTTACATTTCTGAGAGGTAATTCCGGTTTCCCTAGATTTGTCTTGACTAAATCTCAGTTCAACCAATCGATCAGTTTCCTGGAAAATGATACCCTATTCTAGTCCCAAACTCTATGATTTATATACCCTATCCCAGAGTAAACTGCTTGAAAACCATACCCTTCACCGTGGCACATACTTATTCTCGGTTTCACTCACGTGAGAAAGCAGAAAAAAAATGGAAACCTTTTAATACAGAAAGTCTAGAATCTGGGAAATGAAAGAAGATAAATAAACAAAAAGTCTTGCCAAGAATCAGTTGTATGCAACAGTTCATATGCGAGATATTCGGAACAACGTTTTACCCAAATTTATAATGGACATAAAGCTTTGTATGGACAAGCCATGTTTGTGTCCCTTTCAGGGACAGAAATATGGCCGCCGGAAACCAACAGAAAAAAATCTGTTTTTGAGTTTTCCTACTTATGCGTGAATTCTTCGGTTGAGGAACTCATAAAGATCAAAGCAATACAAACGTTAACCATAAAGGACTGCAAGGGACCGCAAACGAATATGCCGAAGATGGCAGGATCTATAAAGACCTGATCAGCAAAAATAATAATGTAGACATATTAAACTCTGCAAGCAGAATAAATTAACTCTGCAAGACATCAATAGGACACCGAAAAAACTCAAAACAGAGCGGGATTGTAGCCACAGACAGCTGTTTCGCCCTTATTGGGGCTCGTCAGTATGGTGCAACAATCAGAGAAAACTCTGATGAAAAATATCCGCGCACTCTGATTTTAAGCCCTGACCTCGTTGCATGGTTATGTCCATGTTTTGAGATTGGTTTTGGCCAATTCTTCATTTTCTCTGCGAGACATCAACTTGACACTTGGACTCTTGCCCTCCTGAGACACGTGGTATGGCGTGATTCTGTGGGTGTTTGGGGTTCTCGGGGTCAGGGCTTAAAATCAGAGTGCGCGGATATTTTTCATCAGAGTTTTCTCTGATTGTTGCGCCATACTGACGAGCCCCAATAAGGGCGAAACAGCTGTCTGTGGCTACAATCCCGCTCTGTTTTTAGTTCTTTCGGTGTCGTATTGATGTCTTGCAGAGTTAGTTTTCACGCAGTACGATCAGCATTTCAGTATTCTGCTCTCAAAGCAATATTTATTCTAAGACAAGGAATGTTTAGATAGCAAAATCTCCAAAAATCCGTAATGTTTTTAACCCACTTAAGAGCATTCCCGGCCGCCAGCCAAATGCTGCGTCACGCAAAAGCCTGGAAATTCAAGCGTCCTGTATTGCAAAACAAAGAACCCTTTTGAACCGAAAATTTGTTTGTATTAAGGTTTTAAGGTGCTCTAATATCACACGAAAGTAGAAACTCGGGAGAAGCGATAGTTTCTTAGTTTGAATTTTGGTGACGTCATCTGAAAACCAAGAATATAGCCCATATATGGAAGTTAACCCCCCCCCCCCCCCCCCCAACCCCTGGAGCTCGAATGTTCTTGAACATAACTTTTTGTTCCTCCCAAAGCTTGCTTCAAAAGAATTGTTGCATAACAAATATCTTGATTCTATTACTTCCTGCTTCACTTGCTGCAGTAACATGTCTACTTCAGTTGGGCTTCATTCCAGACGAAGTTTAACCACAGGGCACCCACACAATCTGTTTATATAACCGATGTAAATTCATGTAAATGTAATATATTTACCGTTTGCTTCATGTATCAAAGCTAAATAAACGTTTTTTTTTACCTTACCTACGGAAACTGTCGTCCTTTTGCCTCAGAAGTGGTACTTTTAAACAGAGAACTCAAAATCCTTCAAAATAGCTTAAAATACCACTTCTTAGGCAAAGGATGACAATTTACCGTAGATAAGGGAACACAACGTTTATTTAGCTTTGATACATGCACATATTTAGCGACGCTATTGATGAAGGAACAGTAACTTCTGTCAGTACATTTACTATAAAATTTCAATCCAATCGGTTTCAAAAACAGATCGTGAACCTATTGTGTGGGTGCCCTGTGGTTTACCGTAGCATAGTATATATCGACCTTCCAGTGAGGAAGGCTTTGGCTGTTATACTACGCACTTTTCCCCGAAACTTGTGTCGCATCAAAAATAACAAGACAACTGAGTTACAAGAAAAATTGGCCATTGTAACGGGGCTTGGTGCTAGTCGGGAAGGGAGTCAAACACAAAAATTTGGCATTGATCACCTGAGATGAGAGGGTGGATTGGCCACCGAAGACACAGTCAAAGCTGACGACTGAAACAATCAGGTTAAAACCAATCGTTGTCATACTTTTTAAACTCAAACATTTAGATCCTTTGAGAGACGAACCAGTTGACAGACTACATGTAACTAACTGACTCACTAGAAAAGGTTACCTGACCAAAAAACACTTCCTCGCGCCATCATAATAACACAAACAAGACCGAAATTAAAGGAAAAACTGACTAACGGGCTTATGAAGCAAGTAGTCGTAATAAACTGACAGACTGACGAACTAAGTTATTGTCTGAGCTGCGGGGTGTCAGGTGTTGGTATTAAAAGACATTGTGGTACTGCTTTGGTGGGGGTAGGGGGGGAGTGAAACACAAAAATCTGGTCAATATAAAGTCCCTTCACTATCGAAAAAAAGGTTTAAAAAAACTGATCCTCCAAACGCTAGCTCGAGATGGTTTGACTCTGCTGTTAAAATATAATTTTGGTGCAACTTACTGGCCGACTGATTGACCCTTGACTGACTCACTGAAAAAAACAAAGCCAACTTATATAACACACGTTGGCTTATTCACAGGCGGCCCAAACGATTTCAGTGCACACCCCAGCATTCAAGCAATTGCGGAGGAAAACAGAAGAAAGAACGCCATACATAATTTTAATTTTAAATACACCAATAAGACCCAGGTTGAAAAACTACTATCAAACATCAACGCACGCAAGGCCTGCGGCCACGACACCATAACGCCGCGACTTCTTAAGGAATCCGCTTCTGCGATATCTGGTCCACTGGCAGAGTTAATGAATGAATCGATCAAACAATGCAAATATCCTTCTCGATGGAAAATGGGGCAGGTAACACCTCTTTTCAAGAAAAATGATGAATTGAGTAAAGAGAATTATCGACCCGTTGTTATTTTACCAGCCCTAAATAATGTTTTTGAGAAACTTCTTTTTTCTCAACTAGACCAGTTCTATTCTGAAATATTGTCTGACTACATCTCAGCTTATAGGAGACACTATAGCTGTGAAACCTCGCTAATGAGGTTAACAGAAGATTGGAGGCGTAGTCTGGATAATAAACAAATTGTTGCAGTGATATCAGTGGATTTATCTAAGGCTTTTTGACACGATACCGCATGGACTCTTGCTGGCCAAGCTGAAGGCTTATGGTGTTAACAGTAGAAGTTGTATGCTTCTTAAAGATTACTTACAAGGTAGGATGCAGCGGGTGAAAGTAGGTGATACAAGTTCTGATTGGCAAGAAGTCAGGCAAGTGTTAGGCATAGAATTTCATTGTTAAAAGCATTTGTATTTAGTGCCAGGCGGCGTGCGCCTAAGGACTGGAAACCATATATGACGTTTTGATGACGTAAGAAAAAACCATGTGCGACAAAAGTAAGAAAAGTAATCGGCGTTACGAACTCGAGAGTTGTAAAAGTTAAGGAAATTTATGAGCAAAATACACGTGGAATATTCTCAAGCAGTGTTTATATCCTGTGCAACATTCTGGGGGCCTGTCCGGGAGGATTCATCGAAGGAATTAGATGCAGTACAAGTTTCAATGGTCGACGAACGTTGTGTGCTAGGATTTGTGTGGATCGCCGTCCAAGATATTCATTTTGGTCTTGATTTGGCGAGCAGGAAACAGTGGTTTGTAGCTTAGGCAGACATTTGGTGTGAACAGCTAGTCAAGAGATAGTGGAACACAGCTTTGAGGTCAGGAAAGGTATAAATGTTGTTTTGCTGGATGCCACGTGGGTTTTGTGATCGTATTAATTAGAAGCAAGATGGCGGAGGAAAGCCTCATTCTTTTAGACAAGAAAATGTTGTCGATGAACTTGAGCGGTTTAAGTGAATTTGCTTTGCATGTTAAAGTGGAAAAGTCGGTAGTGGAGGGCAAGGGGAAATTAAGTGTTATTCGGTCCATCAGACGCAAAATAGAGGATTCAGTTGATGCTCTGACCGGCGATGACCAAATTGATTATGTTGACGGGTTAATGGCACACTTGGGCCCTCCGCCACTCGAGGGAATGGAAGATAAGTATGGGCAAGAAGGATTACAAAACAAAAACGACCTAAAGAAGCTCAAACAAGAACTAGGTGATTTAGAATCTAAGCAGCAATTAGTGGAGGAGAAACTAGCCAAAATGCAGAAATAAAAGCTGACTGACAGAGTAAAGGAAGAAGAGACAATCAAGTTTCCTGTAAAGGGGATTGAGCAGAGCATATTTCGTAGAGATTTTAAGGAGTGATAGGGGAGGATAGAAAGAAAAGCTGGGTTACCAAGCCCTAATATCACAAATAGAAGCAGGGCTTACCAAGGGATACTCCGATAAAGAAGTAGTTAGTGCCGTAGTTCGTGCTGTACAGCCAGGTCTACAACTAACAAGCTATTTAGAGACCATGGTTGACCTCACCCTACCAAGGTTGCGTAAAATTCTTCGCTTCCATTTTCATGAAAGAAATGTCACAGAACTTTATCAACTTTTAACAAATATTGCCCAGCAGCCTAATGAAGATCCTCAGTCATTTTTTATGAGAGCACTAATCGTCAGACAGAAGATTATTAGTGCTTCAAAAGAGTCGGATAGTGGGATTAAGTATGACGCCTCTTCAGTACAAAGTTTGTTCCTGCATGCCGTGGAAACAGGTCTCGCTGACGAAACCATTCGTGCAAAAATAAGGCCACTCACTCAGAACCCAAAGGTCGCAGATGAAGACCTCATTGGAGCTGTGAGCCTAGCCATATCTGCAGAAGCAGAGCGAAGTAATAAGTTCAATCTTACCAGCAAGGGGAAATCTGTAAAGGTGTCCGCTATCGAAAGTGCAGCTGAATCAAAGAAAGAGCTACAGAAGGACCAGCAGGTTCTAGCTACACTAAAAGTTGTGCAAGCAGAGCTGGCTACCATGAAGGCAGAAGTTCAAAACCTGCGTGAAGCAGCAAGCAACCAGAAGGTAGACCCTACGATGCCTAGTCATGCTGGAAATGGAGTGGAGCAAGGCCACTTGGTTGCCAAGAGTGTAGGAGGAAGAGGGAAGGTGACCGATGCCCACATTGCTACCTCTGTGGTGGCTTGTACCATATTGCACGCTACTGTCAGTCAAGGTCCAGAAATTATCCGGGAAACGCACCCAGGCTACCCCGCGGGACGGGGAGTAGCCTCACCAGAAAAAGGGAAGTCCCACCAGTGTAGTGGTTGCCTGAAGTTTGATTGTCACACATGATTATTACCGTGTTCAGGGTGCCAGTCTGTTCGGTATTGTTCTGTTCGTTGTCAGAAGGCCCATTGGCCAAAACACAAAGTGTTGTGCAAAGCAATCAAGGAACTCTCTGAGAGAGGATCTTTTAAAGAAAAGGGATTAGGAGATGCCCAAGATAGTGGTGTGTATGCTAGCCACATTTCACCCAGACAACAGGAGCGCATAGCCAAACTGGTGGCAAAGAAGTGTTCAGTGAAGTGCTACCTGGACGAAAAGCCTACAGAAGCTTTATGGGACACAGGGGCCCAAGTATCCATTGTTTCAGCAGACTTTCTGAAGAACCAACTACCAGCAGTCCAAATAAGGGATATTGAACAGTTACTTGGCACAGATGGATCCATAAGCTTGCAAGTTAGTTACAGTGACCAACAACACTAACCACAATATCACCCTACCTGGAAGAGCTGGAAGAGTTGTTTTGGGGCGCCTTCAGCTTGTACGATCAGTGACTCCTGTTGAAGTCAGGTTTAAGGATCCGGAGACACCAACTCCATTTGAGAGACCTCCCTGTAAACAAGACGCACCTGCCGAGCAAATTGAGAGCAACTTGTCTTGGTTACCTGAAGTTGATTTGAGTGGACTGACAGCAGAAAAAAAGGAGCAGGCAAAGCAGTTGTTGGTTGAAGAGGCAGATGCATTCGCAATGAGCAATGACGACGTTGGCTGCGTTCCCGAACTAGAGATGGACATTGGATTGACTAGCGATCAGCCAGTGCAGAAGAATTACATTTCCATACCCCGTCCACTCTACCCGGAAGTTAAAGGTTATATCGAGGACTTACTCAACCGGGGCTTTATCCAGAAGTCCAAGTCGCCATTCTCAAGTAGTGTTGTCTGTGTTCGCAAGAAAGATGGTGCAACGAGGTTATGCATAGACTAAGAAGACTTAAGTAAGAAGACGGTTCCTGATCGGCATCCCATTCCTCGGATCCAAGAAGCATAAGACAGTCTAGGGGGGCAAGTCCTGGTTTAGTGTTTTGGATCAGGGAAAGGCCTATCATCAGGGTTTTGTTGGAAAGAAAAGTCAGCCACTTACTGTCTTTGTTACACCTTGGGGATTATACGAATGGGTGCGAATACCCTTCGGTCTTATGAATGCGCCAGCGAATTTTCAAAGATTTATGGAGAACTGCCTTGGAGAGTTGCGTGATGAGATGTGCATTCCTTACTTGGACGATGTGATCGTATTCTCAGAGATATTTTCTGAACACATTGAACATCTTCGTAAAGTTCTTCGCCGGTTGAAAAGTTATGGTGTAAAGCTCAAGCCTAGAAAGTGTTCATTGTTCAAACGGGAAGTGTCTTTCCTGAGAGGATCCATCATGACATGGGAGGCGAGTTTGAAAACCGGTTGTTCAAGAGGCTTGAAGAATTTTTTGGAGTAACGCACTCTCGGACTACTCCATATCATCCACAAGGAAATGGTTTGGTGGAAAGGATGAACCGTACACTACTCAGTATGCTGTGAACCTTCCCTGAAGCTCACAAAACTAGCTGGAAGGACCGTGTACACAAACTCATTCATGCATACAATTGTACCATTCGCGAGTCAACAGGTTATTCTCCTTTTTTTCTGTTGTTTGGTCGGAGTCCTCGTCTGCCAATTGATGTAATCTTTGATCTCGAAGCTGAAACAGGGGCCAAGTCACATGCGGAGTATGTTACCAAGTGGAAATCTGCGATGCAAGAAGCTCACTCACTTGCGTTCAAGTCTGCTACGAAGAGTGCCATGAGAGGGAAAATAAATTATGACAAACGAATGAGATCATCAGCGCTGCAAGTGGGAGACCGTGTCCTGGTGCGCAACCTTACTCCTCGTGGTGGACCCGGAAAACTCCGTTCCTTTTGGGAAGATAAGATTCATGTAGTCGTTGCGAGAAAGGGTGAGGGAAGCCCAGTGTATGATGTGAGACCAGAATCAAGTCAAGGACCAAACCGTAATCTACATCGAAACCTCTTACTTCCTTGTGATTATCTGCCAGGGAAACCATGGGAAGACCCCCCTCCTATAAAGAGGACAAGACCAGCAACACCCCACCATTGTCATGAAATCCAGCCATTAAGACATGAAGATGACAGCCACGAAAATGACAGCGATGATGATCTTCCAGCCATTTCATACTGTAACCATTCACCAGAAAATGACCCAATGCAGATGCAGGTACAGTCTACAAGGGAGAAAACGGTGGAAGAAGAACCAGACTTCACACATGTGCATTCAGGTGAGGTGTCAAGTGAAATGTGCACGGGAGCTAACATTGCTGACACTCCTGATGAGGCACAGTTGAATGAAGACCCTCAAGCTGTCAGTGGGGAGGTGGACAATCGTGAGGATACCAACAACTCAGGTCGACCCCAACGTGTGAGGCAGGCACCTAAATGACTCACTTATGACAGTCCTGGGGCGCCAACTTATGTGCGGCCTATCAATGCTAACCCATCCGGAGGGATACAGCAGTGTGGAATGCAGACATCACCAGAGCCCTACATTCCCTAGTACGCTGCCACCAGTCTTGAGCTATATTACTCCACCGGTACCACCTATGATGTCCTGGAACCCGAACATGATGTTGCCTTATATGATGCCCTATGCAGCAGGACCGCAGTTGCCACAATGGGGAGCGCCCTATCAGTTGTTTCAGTACGGATAAACAGTGACTTTTGTTTTTTTTTTTTGTCCATTACCTTGTAAAAAAAGAGAGATTTCCTTGGTGTATTTAAACATTCGTTGTGTGGATGCTGTAAACGCTATCTTGAGATAGTCGTCGTATTACAGAATCGTGAACATTAGTATGGACAGACAAGCTGAGACGTAAATTAAGTGGTCTGCAAGGAGCTGGGCCTGATCACCCCACTCCAGAATTTAACAAGCAAGAAATTCAAAACCGCAAACTACTGTTGTAAAAGGGACTATTCTGTATTACATGCCTAATGTCACGGATGACATTTCTTTTTTTAAGTTAGGGAGGAGTGTTAGGCATAGAAATTTCATTGTTAAAAGCATTTGTATTTAGTGCCAGGCGTCCGTGCGCCTAAGGACTGGAAACCATATATGACGTTTTGATGACGTAAGAAAAAACCATATGCGACAAAAGTAAGAAAATTAATCGGCGTTACGAACTCGAGAGTTGTAAAAGTTAAGGAAATTTATGAGCAAAATACGCGTGGAATATTCTCAAGCAGTGTTTATATCCTGTGTAACACAAGGAGTACCTCAAGGCAGTGTTCTTGGTCCAATGTTTTTTAATATTTTCATAAATGATTTATTCCTACAAATTAAAACTGTACAATTAAATATGTATGCAGATGATAGTCAACTCTACACCGCCGATACGGATCCGGTATCTTTGGAAAGGCGTATCT